CTTCAACACTACTGACAGCTTAATAAAATATGCTTAACAAATCATTTGTTTGAAAACTGAAAACGATATTCCTATGTAATTACAGAAACAGTGTTTTTAAAAAGTGGATGGCAATATTTATTTTATATCCATCATCTGATTTTAATACAAATATCTTGCCAATAAAAATGTTACAGCTTTTAGAGATAAGAAAAAAATATGAAAGAAAGAAAAGAGAAAAGAAAAAAGTCTCAAACACAGGACCCAGAATGTCAACTAATTCAGCACAGTTTTGCAGTGTCAAGTAAAAAGTCTCTCATAGAAAGTTACATGGAAGTGTAAAACTTCGGTTTCTGGACTTTGATCCAAGCGGTCAAACTGGTCCTCATTAGTAACTCCTATTTCCATTATATGTCAAATATTCTCAAGCTTTTGCCTAGTACAAAACAAAGCAATAAGAAGTCAATCACGTTACCCCTACAATACTAAATGATCTAAAACATAACCCACAATGGCAGAAATGATTAGTAACTAATGAAAGGTAACATTATTTTAATATGCTGTCAAGAATAACAACAGCTGTTAAAGTGGCATTAGCACCCGGAAGCCTTCATTTGCAAATGCATGAAGATTAGAGCCCTTAATTAACACAGTAGTATCTCAGGCGGGTAGAACTGCAAAGTTGTCTAGAATGGTGAGGGTGGGAGTTTCCATATGTTGTAGTTTACTAGTCTCCAGTTAATTTTTATGCCAATAGATTATGTTCTGAATTGTTCAACTGACACTCAAATTCACATAAACAGGCTGTGATTACTAAAAAGCATCTATGCTCCAAGCTTGTAGCTTTGAACTAGGTGCTTAGCTCTGTATTTGAAGATAGTTATAGGAAACAATGTAATATAGCAGCCGAACTGCTTTCAAGGTCAACCAAAATTCACGGGTATTTAAATGAGAATTTAGGGATGCCAGAAACCTTCATTCTGTTCAGTGACTACTACTGAGTACAGATCATTCAGTTTGGGAATAGGATAAAAAAGCATGCATGAATGTCATGCATGGAAGTAGTTCCATCAACATGCCTGTTTACCGGCACAGATGGCCAATCTAAGTGAATCCAAATTTATTTTAAATTTAAAAACATGTTAAATGTTTCTACAGAACTGTCTCATGGGGTCCTGAATCACACACAGTACTCATTTTACACTTACAGAGTGTAACAAACAGGATAAAAGCAGAGTAACAGCTTCTAGTTAAAAGAAAAAAAAAAAAATCCTAGCTATAAAGTTAAAATGTCTGCAATAAGTTTTTACCACAACCATATGAATCACACTGGGTTTAGAAGTTTGGAATTTTTATAATCAACTACTGTCTAATCTCTCAATCTTAAATCTCTAGTTAATGCCACCAAATATAAGCCCAAACAGGAACCTCTGACTACACACAAGCTCTTAGATCGTATTCTTTAAACTGACAACTTTCAGCACTTTATACTTAATGAGGGCCTGTACTACTCTTAAATATTTTACACTTTCGTTTTCCAAGTTTTACTCAACATAAACTCTTAGAAATATATAAGAATATATATACACATACATGTCATAGAAAGTGGTCAGCCTATTGTCAACATCAACTATAATATAAAAACCGTAACTAAAAAAGTCTTTATATAGAGTTTCAGATGATCTGAATTTTACACAGAAAAGTGTAACTTTGAGAAATGAGGACTGTAATCCTGTGCTACTTGGGAGAAAAGGTAATGTGAAAAGAAAATTAAATGTAACCCCTTCCATTTAACTTCCAATAAAATGTTACTTTCAAAGATTTGGCAGGCTCTGAGTGAAGTGTTCTTATGTATGACTACTTAAAAAGATCACCAAACTATCCTAAGTTTCTGTGTTTAAAGGGAGAGAAGGAAAAAAAGAAGAGGACACTGATGTTGATTTGTAAGACAAATCACTTTTTTCTTTCAACTAATAATCTGCCTACAGAACATCTCCAAAGAACAGCCTGACACACTGAAAAAAATCAGCCCAGCTCTCCTGCCCGCTCCCCATTCAATGGGGGCAGAAAAGTGGAAGTGTGCAAGGGTGAAAGGAAACTAGGGACAGATGGCCTCGGAGTAGCAGGTGACCTTTGAAAACTGGGGGCCCACAACAATCAATAATTCCAGATCTAGATGGCCTTCGTGCCTCACCCCGAACTCGCAGGAAACTGTCCTTTGAAAAGAAACCACTTTTCTTTTCAGGGTTTATCCTCTGGTTGCTCCAGATTCAGATTTTGAAGGAAGACAGCCAAAGCGGGGAAAGAGGACTTTAAAAGGAGGGCGGAGTAATTAAACAGAAGAGATAAGATTTGCCCTAAGCTATCGCCTCGGTCCAAAACCCCCGAAAGGGATGAAATCGACACAAACTCGTTTAGGAGAAACTGCCTTAAAAAGAGCCCCTTCTAAAATCCCAAAGGAATACACCGTAAGAGAATAAAGGAAGACAAAAATATCAGACAGTCCATTTTCAATGAAGCATCCCTCTGCCCCCCCGCCCCCGCTGGGCGCCCCCAGCCAGCACCCAGCCCCGCGCCCCCAAGGTAAAGTGGCAAGTGGGGGGATGCTGAAGGGACTACCTTGTTTTGTCTCCAAAGGGCAACACAGCAAACATAGGAAGGTCGAAGTGCAGACCACGCGGCCTCCGCAGACTCTGGACTCCGGGAGGCGCCGGGGGGCGACGACGTGCCCAGGGGAGGCGGTGACTCCAAGCCTGCTCCCTTACCGACCCCGCCACCGGGCCGCCGCCCGCCGCAGCCCGCTCGCTCCGCGCTGCGCCGCCCCCTGGCGGGGAGCGCCCGGCAGAGCGGAGGCCGAACGCCGGCGGGGGGGAGCCCAGCGCCGAGCCTCGGCCGGCCGCTCCACCATCACCGCCCTGAGTGCGCTTTCCTGGCGGCCAAGGCAGCCAGCGCCGGCTGCCCGACGGCCGCTGCCTGGAGGCGGCGGCGGCGGCGGCGGCGGGTCCGGGACTCTTCTCCAAAGAGGCGCGTCCTGGAGTCAGTCGGAGTCCGCGTGTAGAAGCCTTTGCCCGCGCAGCGGCTTCTCACCAACTCCTCAGGCTTCAGGGCATCCGCCCGCCTCCACTCTCTGCTCCGGCCCCTCCTTCCTCGGCTTCAACCTCAATTCCTCCCCAACTCTACGGGAGCCTTTCCCACGCGCGCCCCAACTGCCCCCCGGGCAGCCACCTCCCAAAGGACAGGCACCCTCCTCCCCGCCCTCGGCAGCGGCCGCCCGGCGCTTGGCTCTCGACCGGGAAGAGCTGGCCTCTGGGGTCGGCTGGGGCTGCGCGGGACCCGTCAGCGCCCCGCTGTCGGCTCCCGCCGCGCCTCCCCAGCGCCCTTTGTGTGCGCGCCGCGAACCCCTCTGCGGAGCCCTTTCAGCGGCGCCGCCTTGGGAGCAAGAGAGAGTGAAAGGAAGCGCCGGGCCAAGCAAGGGACTGGAAAGGGGCAAAAGGCGACAGCGCTTACTCTGGGAAGACTCCGGCATGTTGCTGCCTTTGGGCTCCTCGTGGTCTCGCCCCTACCCCGACTTCCCCGCCCGCCAAGGGCCAGGGCGAGGGGGGACGGGGGAGGAGCGGAGCTGCTGGGACCGAGTTGGAAATGGTGCTTCCGGAGCCGCAGGGAAGGGGCTCAAAACTGTTTTGGTTTCGCTGAGGAGATTTAGGGGGACTAGGAGGCTAAAGAAGGGCTGGGGGAAGGCCCGTGAGCGCGGATGTATGTAAATAATCTTGCTCTCAGGGAATACCGGGGCAGCCGGGCTGTGTGTGTGTGTGTGGGGGGGGGGTCCACATGTACATTTTTGCATTGAACTTTTTGAGCAAGTTGGATCGAATCCCACGCTTGGGCTTTTCGACTGTACTAGCCATAAAGTCGAGGTGTCTACACCCTAACAGGACCAAAGACCTACTTCAAAAGCAAAGGGCCTGGGAACCGAGGTCGTTTAATGGTAAAGGAAGAGGAAAATTCAGTAAGGGAGAGAGATGAGCCCCCAGGTCACTCTCAGCGCCCCGGGTGGGTCTTCCAGGGGTCCTCTTCTTACCTGGTGGCTTTCCTAACAAAGTAAGAGCAGGTAAAGTCCCAGTGATCATCCAGCCACGCTTCCACGGAATCCTGGTCCCGCTGCAGCTTCGACTCCCCGGAGCCGGGGCTGGCCCGCTCCATGATCCGCGCCCAGCGTCTGTGCAGCTGGTTTGTGCCGTTTTCCACCCCAGCTGGGGTCTCTCCCTCGGAGGAGCCGGCCTCTGCCCCGAGACCCTCCCCCTCCGCCTTGCGCCGGTCCGGCTGGCTTTTGGCGAAGCTGCTCCGGCGCCCGGCCAGCCGCTCGCCACGCCCCACCTCTCCTGGTGATCACCGCTCCCAGGTGCGGCGGGTGGGGCAGGCGCAGCAGCCGCGCGGCCTCGCCGGGGTCGGGCGGAGGCTGGGTCTCGCCGTCTGTCGGGTCCCCAGATTCCAAGGCGGCGGCGGAGGCAACTGGCGAGCTCTCCGGCCGCTAAGTGGCCGCCGCTGGAAGGAGGCCGCTCGGCCGCTGGGGTGCGCTGTGGGCTGAGCGGGTTCCGGGGGAGCGCGCAGAGGTGACTGGGGGTGTGTTCGCAGAGTGCCCCACAGTACGAAAGGGAGAGTCGCGATGTGTGCGCCCATCCCAAGTCCTGAAAGCTGGAGTTAGGGGAACCTTCCACCAAAAGTAAGAGGTGCGGCTACCCTGGCGACTTTTCTCAGGTCTGAGTGAACAGTGACCGCCCGGCCTCGCTTTCCTCCCCAGGGCTTGGGTCTGGAAGGTGCAGGGATCGACCTTCCTCCGAGCCCAGGCAGCCCGGGGGGGTGTGCCACGGATTTGCGGCTCCTGGTGGGTAACTTCCAACAAAGGCATTTCCG